ATTTACACCAAATATTTTATCAATGAATTCTAGATCAAATTTTCAACCTATTTCAAAATTGCTTAAATTATTTATAGATATTTGAAATCTCCCATTTTTTTAGTTGTTATTTTCTATAGATGTCGATAAAGTTGTATTCATGGTTCAAAAAACTTGAAAATTCAATACAAGGTCCAAATAAGTTATATGATATAATATACTACTGGGAATTTTCAATCTCGACCACTCAAAGGTATTAACTAGATTTATTTTTCTATCAAAAAATTTAAATAATATTTATAACTTACTGATATTCCATATAGATTCTTCCACAGATACTTCCATAATAAGTTCTTCTACGTCGTAACTCATATTCATAATAAATTATGAATTAATTTTTATCAAAGTTAATATGATAATTACTAAAAAAAACCGGGTATACAATATAAAMAATATTGTTACTTTRGTGATCAATGTTCGAATGATCGAAATTCGAAATATCGAACGGCGAACATTCGCGTCGGATATCGCGCAGTGTATATCAATCCAGTCAAAACAATATGTTTAATTTTAGCCGCTCGCGGMGAATATTCGCCTAAAATTAAACAAGACAGATTTTTCGCGATTGTTCGCAACTTGTATCCAGGCGATTATTTCTGTCTGAACACCGTAACTTAAATATAGATGTTTAATTTTGAGCGAATGTTCGCGGCGATTTAAAATCGCGTTCGCTCCGCGAACATTCGCTTCGTGTGAAACCACCTTAAAGACTTTAACGGAAACAATAATTGGAGACAGCCGCTAGCTGATAATCGCGGTCCGCCGATAAAACCCTTATATATTAAATTTATCTAAATGATTTATGGTATTTATACACTATACCTATTTTGTTATGTTATTACCAACAATTGCAATACAACTAGTATACAATGTAAATTGTGGTTTCCCACAAATTATACCTAGTACCTACATAATATGCGAGTTAATAATATTCTCGAACAAATTCACAAAAAGCTCAAGATTGTTTTATTTAATTTCGGGGGGTGTTTGAACACCCAACCCCCCCCCCTTACCTACGCCCATGCAAACTGCCTTATCAACACAGATACCTTTTTCTCCGTTTACAACGACCCCCTTCTAGCAATGGTCCCCTAAAATTAACACGCAACTACTTCATTCCAAAAAGAACAGCACTCCTCATGCAACAATAATCACAGTAATCTTCAACGAAATTTTACACACCGAGTTCTTAGATTTCAAACAAATTTACCCTGATGCTTCCAAAACCAATGTCGGAGTAGGATTTGCTTACTGCACAAGCCGTACTTCAAAATGCTTCTAATTATTCCCTGAAGCCAGCCTCTTCACAGCGGAAACTCAAGCCATCAAAAAAGCATTATTATTCGCAAAGTYAACGTCCACAATTAACATTCTAATAATCAGCGACTCCCTTAGCGCTCTTATAGCCATCGAAGCACCTAACCCCTCTAATGAGATAATTTACCAAATTCATAACATCATCTCGACCTAAAAAGTGATTGAATTCGTGTGGGTTCCCTCTCATACAGGCATCCCARGATACACTGGGAAATGAGGTAAACACCTCGACCTCGTCCTCATTCATTACTACTCTTCCATATCAAGATATTAAAAAAAATCATAAACACACACCCTACCAATATGTGGCAAGCATCCTGGGATGAAATACCTATGTCTAACAAATTAAAATCAATTAAAAAGAAAGTCACCAAATGGCAATCTCAG